AGTTCATCATATTCTGCTTAATTTTTTCTTCTTTTTACTGCTTATTATCTTATGACTTGTAATTCCATGACTTCATAAAGATGTTTAAAAATTCACTTCTTTCTTTAAATCTTCAAAAAATTGACATGTAATAACCATTAGATCTGAGCACAAAGTAAGAGTGCACAAGGAGGAGGAGAAGGACCCTTGCACTCAACACTTAAAATCCTTCATGAATAATTTCTTCATAACCATTTCAACTAATTTTTGCAACATGTCAAGAAGTTAATCAATTCCCTTTAATATGACTGGAGGTTCATACTCAATCAAGTGAATGTATGAACCATTCTCTTATTCAATTGTCCACAAAGGATTGTCCTGTTACAGTCACATTCCTGAGTAAGGAAGGGGTAAAGGGCTAACATCTATTGTGGAACAATTACCCAAACACAGTGTCAACAGAACAATTATCCAAACAGTGTCAACACGGACATACAGTGAAAGTGTTGTACATGGATTTTGTCATCCTATTTGCTCATCATCTGACATAAAAGCAACATCCATTGCACAGTTGGAAGCTACACTGAAATAAATTTTGCATAAAGTGCTGGGTAATTAAAATCAAATTGATGTGCAGATGATGCATCAGATTCTTTCAAAGCTCACTGCCCTTCCATGTGTAATTTATCATCCCTTTCTCTGTCTCCCTCTTTCTCTTCCTCTTCCTTTCTTTCCTTATAGCATTAAATAATACCTAGAGATTCCCATTTTTACCCTTATCTCTCACCTGAAGAGCTGCAACACCACCCATGTCAAGATCCTTTGACCGGAGGAGGTTTGGGGCCCACACAATAGCAATGTTTTTTGGCGTCATGCCCGTCTCACAGCTGTGTGCCGCTACTCTTGCCAAATGTTGCACAAGGTATTCCAGAGTTCTGAAAAGAATTAAAGGGTAATCATCTTATAGGCTAAAAACACTATTAACTTCCATTATATCAGAGTACTTGCCCTATCACACTTTGAAGTCTGACTGAATGTCAAACATACAAATCAAAACTGAAAAAAATAAAAAAAACAAAAATATCACATACCTATAATGCGGGGGAGGCAATTGCTGAACTACATCTCTTAAATATAATAATCTGATGTCCTCATCCTGCATGACAGCTGCCACAAACTTCTCATATAATTGATAAGTCAACAAAGGGTTTGGCAGTTCTCGGAAATACATTTTGAGCACAGACGATACACAGTGGATGTCTTGTAAGATACTTTCATCTCCATACAGATCAGGTATTCTGTCCTCGTCAAAAGCATTTCTGAAAGTCCCAACCATAAGGTAATTAGGTATATACTCACTAGAAGAACACTGATTTCCTTTTTATGAATGTATCTTAAAACAGATTCAACTAAATTGCAAAGAACAGGATGAAAAAATTACCTTAGTTTCTGGATATTAGATGTTATACCCGATAACCTGTAAATGCCATCCACAATGCCATGGCCTTCTAAGAACTCTGCACAACAGCGCAGCACCATTGGAATCTCATGGCCCGAGTTGAGGAGGTGCTCTCCCAGGTCACAGCCAAACACCCTCTCTCGTAAGATACCAGATTGCTTCAGCTTCCTCCGCGATGGTCTAGATAGAATGAAGCTCCTGGAAATTTAGAACAAGTTTCACATTAGAAATAGATGTATAAAATAACAAAAAGAAAATAAAAGTGATTACAGTCTAAATCATTCACTTCAAGAGCTGATATCAATGCATAATATCTTAGAAATAAAAATAAATATCTTTAGTGTCATGGAAATTTCTTCTCCACTAGGTTGTTCTTACAAATTTATGTAGGTATATGTACCAATGCTATCAAATCATGAAACTATATTACTGTAAACTAATAAAGAAACATTTGTATAAAAAACGAGATCATTCACTAATATATCCAACAGAAAAAAACAATTCCCAAAGGCCAAATCCTACAAAGAGTCACCTAAAGAAAGCGATGAGTTTGCCGTGCTTTCTAAGCACTGGCTTGGTAGGGGCTTGAGTGCCTGAGTGGAGCGTGTGGTGCTGGTGTCCTGAGGCCAGAGGAGGCTGAGTCCGCGCAGGGGGCAAGGTCAGGGTCTGTGGCTGGATCGTTTGTGGAACCTGAGGGGAAAGAAGGTGGATGAAATGGCATATAAATGGGGTAAAGTTGCTTTATTGGCTAATTCTAATGTCTTGTATACTCTCTCTCTCTCTCTCATAAATACATCAACCCCCTCCACCTATCCACCAACACACACACACACAAATACCCTCACCTCCCACCCCCACATATACATACCCCACCAACTCCTATCCCCACGCATCCAACCAAAACCAGTAAAAATCGCAAAACTCAAAACAAAAACGTACCTTATCACCGATGACCTGCACGCACTCGCAAGGGAAGAACCCGACCTGGAACCCTCTCTTGCCCCTCCACCAGATGGACTCCTCCGGCGGCGGCATGTCGATCACGCTGATCATGTCGCCCAC